GTCTCCCGTCAAAGGGGAAGTCCACCCTGATTTTTAACTTTCTGTTCTGATTTTAATGGTTGCATTTGCACTTTTAACTTTTCTTTATATTGTACGCTGCCCAATGTCGCTGCCTTCGTGAGATGGGTGCGTGACGCAGGGGGCATCAGGGTTCCTGATCCACAGAGGGCCTATTCCGTCTTCTTAGAGATTTCTTCACTCCATCCTTCCCTTTTTTTAAGCCTGCCTCCATCGCTCCCTTCCTGATCTGGGGATGCTGGCAGAAGGCCTACAACTCAGCCTTGGTCGCAGCTGCGGCTCCTCCAGAAACACAGAGCTAATGATGGAGCTTCATCTGGGCTGGTTTTTTTTCTCCGGAGAGGGGAGATTTCTCCAACTGCAACCTCCTCTTACTTCCCCTTCCTCGTCATCCTCCTTTCTGCCCTCCCCCTCCTCCTCTCCTCCCCCTCCTCCTCCTGCCTTGTGCAAACCCCCCTCCCTTCGAGCGCTGATGATGATCCCTAGTTTGGGTAGTGAAATGTCTGCAAAAAAGCAACCAAGGTCAAAGAGCAGCAAGGATCCCACAGTCCTCCTCCTCCTCTTCACAATCCCCACTCCCTTCTAACACTGATGACGTTCCCTAGTTGGGTCATGAAATGTCTGCAAGAAAACAACCATGTTTAGAGAGCACCAAAGACCCCAGAGTCATTGTCCTCCTCCTCCTCCTCCTCCTCCTCCTCTTGGCAAATCTCCCTCCCGTCTAGCCCTGATGATGTTCCCTAGTTGGGTCATGAAACATCTGCAAGAAAAGCACCAAGCTCAGAGAGCACCGGGGACCCCATATTCAACCTTGAGCTAGAAATATTTTCCTTTATTTTGCTAAATGTGTCCCTGGGTCTTCCTGTGCTATTCCCCCCCCCACCTCCCGAGGGCATGACCCACCATTTGGGTCCAGAGCAATCTTGGGGGCTCCAGTGGGGTCCTGGGGGAGGCTTAACCCTTATCTTTTCTAGCACTGATGATGTTCCCTAGTTGGGTCATGAAACATCTGTAAGAAATCCATCAGGCTCAGAGAGCACCAAGGACTCCACAGTGCTCCTCCTCCTCTTCCCCCCTCCTCTTCTCTGCAAACTCCCCTCCCTTTCAGCACTGATGATGTTCCCTAGTTGGGTCATGAAACGTCTGCCAGAAGACATCCAAGCTCAAGAGAGCACCAAGGTTCCCGCAGTCGTCCTCCCCCTCCGTCTCCTCCTCCTCCTCCTCCTGTTTGGAACAAGCTGGGTGGGGCTGGGGGCTTCTTCTGTCAGAAAATTACAGATGCTTTTAATTTGGGGCTCTCTTTCAGGCAGACCCCCACCGAGATAACTCTGCAGGTCCGTCAGGCAGCGGGAGATCTTTGTTGGCGGAGTTGTTGCCAGGATGTTCTACACGGATGTTCTGCAAGGGCTTCAAACAATGCGCTTTTCATAGCAAACTCTCTGGGCTCACAATGAAGCTTTGCTTATCGTCGGATTAGATTTGGCTGCAAATGAAATTCATTTATCAGGGCTTTTGTTAGCTCCGAGGCTGCGCTTCTCTTTCCTTGAACGGCGGGCGAAGTAGGGAAAAACCTCGCTTGCCCAAACCCGGGAGATGGACGGCAAAGAAATTGGATAAATGAATATACGGTAGGTAGTCCCCGACTTACAGCCATTCACATTTAGTAACTCTTCAAAGTTATGACAACACTGAAAAAAGAGACATGGCCGTTTCCCCACACTTACGACCATTGCAGCATTCCCGTGGTCACGTGATCCAAATTTTGCCCATTTGGCAACTGATTCACATTTATGACGGTCGCAGTGTGTCCCCCCCGCTCGTCCCCCTGTGGTCACGTGATCCCCTCTTGCAACCTTCTGATAAACAGAGTCGATGTGGAAGGAGCCAGATTCACTTAACAACCGTGTGACTCACTTAACGACTGTGGCAAGAAAGGTCACGAAAGGGGTCAAAGTTCACTTAACCATTGTCTCACTTTGCAGCAGAAATTTTGGGCTCAATTGTAGTTGTAAGGCGAGGACTACCCATGAATAAACATACAAAGCTGTTATTGCAGGAGAAGCAAGCAGGGCAGGGACCCCAGTGGCTGGCACAAGCAAGGCCTGGGTTCAACCATGGCAAAATCAGGCCGCCTCCCCACAGCTGGGGTTCAGGATCTGGCCAACCTCCAAATCCCATTAAAGGAGAATATTTGTAGCTCAGAGTTGAACTGAGGGGTCCCTGGTGGTCTCTGAACTTGGTTGTTTTCGTGCAGACCCAAAGGTGCTTTTTCAGGAGGCAACTGGACTTTCTGGTTTTCCTTTGAAGACGTTTTACTTTTCATCCAAGAAGCTTCTTCCGCTCCGACTGGACGGTGGAGAAATGGAAGGATTTATGCTCCTTGCAGACAGCTGGTCCTTTGCATCCTTTTAGAGAGAGTCCTTGAGGCCCTTGGAGGTTTCTCTGTGTCCTCAGGGTCACCTGAGCGCTGCAAATGGTTCCTGTGGTCTGCAATTTTTTCCTCTGGAAATCCATTCCTTATTCCCACCCCATTCCAAGGGTTGTAAATCCCAAATTGTATGGCTAAATGTCTGTAGAGATTGTATTGAGAATCTCTACAGACTTTTTCTTGCAGGCATTTCATGACCCAACTAGGTAACATCCATGTTCATCCCAACTAGAGATGATGGGTTCTTGAGTTGCAGAAGTGGTCTTCCTCTCTTGCTTTGGGACAACGCAGGAGAACTCCTGGCACACAATTTGCGTTTATGCACTGGTCAGGATCCTACAAGAAGAAAGGCTACGCAGTTTGTGGGTTGCGCACATCAGGCTGTGCTGTGTAGTCAGAGAAATGTCACATTTTGGGAACTTGGATTCGGGATATTGTGGGACACAGCCAGGGAAAGAAAAAGAATGTTCCGGCATGGCCACATCATGATTTAAGCCAGTGTTTCCCATGGACTTCAACTCCCAGAATTCCCCAGCCAGAATTGAGGTCCACACCTCTTAAAATTGAAAAATGTGGCTCTAAGCCTGGGGGGAGGAGGTCCAATCTTGGCAATTTTAAGACTTGGGGGCTTCAACCACCATCAGCCACCTCCAGCGGTGAGCAGCCCCCTTGGGGTCTCTTTTGAAGGGGGCTTTTGTGCTCTTCTGGAGCCCATCATGGCCAGCTGGTCCAGCCCTTGGAACAGCTGGAAACCCAGGGCAGGTTCAGACAGTCAGACAAACTCACTGGAGATATTTGGAAGAAAGGGAGGGTGTGTGCATTTGTGCATGTGTAGAAGTTGTTCAGAAGTCCGGAAGTTGTGGGAGCGTCATCACTGGAAGCTTTCAAAAAGAGACCGGACAGTTGTCTGTCAGAAATGGTGTAGGCACTGTAGGGTCTCCTGCCTGAGCAGGGGGCTGGACTAGAAGACCTCTAAGGTCCCTTCCAACTCTGTTAATCTGTTTAACCGCTGTAGTGTGTAGATGGGTGTGTGTAAACATATGCATAGGTGTAGAAGCAGGGGTGAAATCCAGCAGGTTCTGACAGGTTCTGGAGAACCGGTAGCGGAAATTTTGAGTAGTTCAGAGAACCGGCAAACACCACCTCTGGCTGGCCCCAGAGTGGGGTAGGAATGGGGATTTTGCAGTATCCTTCCCCCAGCAATGGGGAGGGAATGGGGATTTTGCAGTATCCTTCCCCTGCCACACCCACCAAGCCACACCACGCCCACCAAGCTACGCCCACAGAACCGGTAGTAAAAAAAAATTGGATTTCACCACTGTGTAAAAGGGAGCGTGGGAGTGTGTAGAAGGGTGTGTGTTTGTGTAGACATGTGTGTGTGTGTATGCAGATGAGTAGATAGCTGAGCTCATGGGTAGAAGTGTGCAGCCATGTGTGCGTGTGTATAGGAGGGCATGTGTGTAGACTGAGGGAAGTGTGTATGTAGGCATGTGTGTATGTAGAATTCTGTCCGTGTGCATAGATGGGTGAGTATAGATGACTGTGTGCAGACATGTACGCCTATGGGTAGAAGTGTGTGTGTGTGTGTGTGCAGATGGGTGAGGGCATGGATAGAAGGGTGTGTATAGACATTGCTTGTCTATTTCTTTTTCTCTGTGTACAAACTGAGCTAAGTGCCCAGGGAAGGGCAATGGGGCTGGGCAGAACCATGTGGGGGCTCGGGGTGGTGGTGTCGATATAGGAGCAGCCTTTCAGTATAGAATGGCAGTCTTCCATCAGGTCCGGCAGGGGGGGTTAGGACTCGGGTGTGTGTGTTTGTCAATGAACAATTAACCAGTGGAACTCCTTGCCTCCAGAAGTTGTGGATCCTCCAACACTGGAAGTTTTTAAGAAGAGACTGGACAGCCATTTGTCTGAAATGGTTTAGGGTCTCCTGCCTGAGTAGGGGGTTGGACTAGAAGACCTCCAAGGTCCCTTCCAACTATTCTATTCTATTCTATTCTATTCTATTCTATTCTATTCTATTCTATTCTATTCTATTCTATTCTAATTCCATTCCATTCCTATATTCTCTTCTCTTCTCTTCTCTTCTCTTCTCTTCTCTTCTATTCTTCATTCCATTATTCTATTCTATTCTATTCTATTCTATTCTATTCTATTCTATTCTATTCTATTCTATTCTATTCTATTCTTCATTCCAATATTCCATTCCATTCCATTCCTATATTCTATTCTTAATAAGCTGTGATTTCTCAGGATATACATTTCTGCATCCTCCGGGGAGGGCGGGGTGGGGGCGGCAGGAAGAACACCCCCCAAATCCCACCAGCCGCTCCCCCCCCCACCCCTGCTCAGCCTCCCCTCCCCGCCTCCTGCCAAATCTGGACCGCGCAGCTAATCGGCGAACTACGGTGTCCCAAAAGCTCTACTGCGCTCCTATTGCCGTATTTACGGTCCGGCCGCTCTCTTGCGGCGGGGCCCTCACAGCGGGCGGCGCCTTGCTTTACGGCGGAAGGCCCAACCTGGTGGGGGGGGAGAGCGGACAGAGCGCTTTACGGCAACGCGCGCGACCTTTCGCGACACCCGGCGGAAGGAGCGGCGGCCATGGACGTGGGGGAGCTGCTCAGCTACCAGGTGAGGAAGGGGTGGGGGGGAGGAGGAGGAGGGGGGGGTCCTGCCCGTTTTGGGGAGGGGGAAGGGCAGAGCGGGGATGCTGGTGGTGGTTGTTGTTGTTGGCCGGCGAGGCTGATGGGAGTTGTAGTCCAGCAGCCGGTGGGACTCCCCGCCACGAGAAATTGTGCTGTGGGTGGGGGAGCTGGAGTGGGGAGGAGGGATTTTTTTGAGAGGGGGGATCGCCTGGTGGCCTCCCATCCCCGGCAAAGCCTTAGGAGCTTCTAAGGCAGTGTTTCTCAACCTGGGAAGCTTGAAGCTGGGGGGACTTCAACTCCCAGAATCCCCCAGCCAACTCCCCCCAGTTCTAATGGGTCGTGGGGGGGGAGTAAAGTGGTGACCCCCTCCATCCCTCCCCCCCTTTCTCCCTGAAATGCGGGGGGGGGGCTCCTTTCCCCCCCCCCCCCCCCCAGGGTCCCCCCCCTTGCTTTGCTTTGCTCCCCCCCCCTCCCCACCAGGCTGGGCTTTAACCAAAAGGCAGGTTTTTAAACTCGATTTTATTTATTCACTTTGTGAAGATGTTCTACCAAAGGGGTCTCCCACAGGGGTGGAATTCACATTTTTTTAAAACTACCGGTTCTGTGGGCGTGGCTTGGTGGGGGCGTGGTGTGGCATGGTGGGCGTGGCTTGGTGGGCGTGGCGGGGGAAGGATCCTGCAAAATCCCCATTCCCTCCCCACTCCTGGGGGAAAGATACTGCAAAATCCCCATTCCGTCCCCATTGCTGGGGGAAGGAAACTGCAAAATCCCCATTCCCTCCCCATTGCTGGGGGAAGGATACTGCAAAATCCCCATTCCCACCCCACTCCTGGGGGAAGGATACTGCAAAATCCCCATTCCCTCCCCATTGCTGGGGGAAGGATACTGCAAAATCCCCATTCCCTCCCCATTGCTGGGGGAAGGATACTGCAAAATCCCCATTCCCTCCCCACTCCTGGGGCCAGCCAGAGGTGGTATTTGCCAGTTCTCCAAACTACTCAAAATTTCCGCTACCGGTTTTCTAGAACCTGCTGGATTTCACCCCTGGTCTCCAACCTTGGCCACTTTAAGCCTTGGTGGACTTCAACTCCCAGGATTCCCCAGACAGCAAAGCTGGGGGAAAAAGCAAAGCGAAGCTGGCTGGGGAATTCTGGGAGTTGAAGTCCACCTAGGCTTAAAGTGGCCAAACTTGGAGGCCCCTGTTCTAGGATACGTCTTGGTTGACTGGATGGGTCCAGGGAGGGCAGGAAGACCCCGACCCAGACTGACTGGCCCAGGGAGGGGCAAGGGGGCCTTTGGGGGTCCTTGGGGCTCTCTGAGCCTGGGTGGCAGTTTTGCAGACGTTTCATGACCCAACTAGGCAAGGACATCAGTTCTAGTGCTAGAAAGGAGTGTGGGGTTTGTAGAGAGAAAGAGAAGAGAAGAAGAAGAAGAGGGCGATTTAGAGAGAGAGGAGGAGGAGGGCTGTGGGGACTTTGGGGCTCTCTGAGCTTGGCTGTTTTTTGTTTGTTTTTTTGCAGATCTTTCATGATCCCACTAGGTTACCTGATAGAAGGGAGTTAGGTTTGGGAGGAGGAGGAGGAAGATGATGATGGGGTCCTTGGGGCTCTCTCAGCTTGGTGGTGGTGGTTGTTTTTTTGCAGACCTTTCATGACCCCACTAGGTTACTTGATCAGTACTAGAAGGGAGTTAGTGTTGTGGCCCGTCAGCGGCCTGTGCAGCTAGTAGCTGATTCTGACAGCGAGGAGGCTGGTGTGGTGCTGCACCAGCAGCCTGTGCAGCTGGCACTCGAGTCGGACAGTGAGGAGGCTGGAGAAGATGTGGTGTCAGAGGTGGGGACTCAGCCAGGGCCTTCAGAACCTCCAGAAGCTCCCATAAGTGAAGAGGACGAAGAGGAGGAGCCTCTTCTCAATGCACAGGCATGTAGAGCTGCTAAAAGGCAGGAGTGGCTCCTCAGGAGGAGGTCTCCTCGAGAGTAAGGCTTGGGGCTAATTGTCCACTCCCCTAGCCTATTTAAGGAAGGACGACGACTGAGGCAATTTGCAGGGAACAACTTTAGTTTACTCTCCTTCGCGTCTGGATTCTCTGCAAATTGCTTCTGGGCTTTCTGCCAACCTTAGTAAGATTGTGATTACTTTATCTTTGTTTTTTTGTAGGCTGTTAAGAAAGTTAATTAATAGCCTTTATTTGATTTAATTTAGTAAACTAAGGTTTGTACAGACTTCGTGTGTGCTGCGTTCTTTGGGGTCCATAGCTGGGGCAGGACAGTTAAGTTTGGCAGGAGGAGGAGGAGGAAGAAGAAAAAGATGGTGGGTCCTTGGTGCTCTCTGAGCTTGGTTATTTTTTAAAAAAGATATTTCATGACTCAGCTAGGTAACATCATCAGTGTTAGCAATGAGTGGGGTCTGCAGAGAGAAGGAGGAGGAAAAAGGGGACAGAGGAGGAGGACTGTGGGATTCTTTGTGCACTCTGAGCTTGATAGTTTTCTTAGAGAGTTTCATTACCCAACTAGTGAATGTCATCAGTGCTAGAAGAGAGAGGGGTTTGCGAAGGAGGAGGAGGAGAAAAGAGGAGGGAAAGGAGGAGGAGGGTGACAATTGTGGGGTCCTTGGGGCTCTTTGAGCTGGGTGGGTGTTTTGCAGACGTTTCATGACCCAACTAGGGAACATCATCAGTGCTAGAAGGGAGGAAAATTTGCAGAGAGGAGGACTGTGGGATTCTTGGGGCTCTCTTGTTTTCTTGCAGACATTTCATGACCCAACTAGGGAACATCATCAGTGCTAGAAGGAAGAAAGACTTGGGGAGAGGAGGAGGAGGAGGAGGAGGAAGGGTGTGGGGTCCTTGAGGCTCTCTGAGCTTGGTGGTTTTCTTGCAAACCTTTCCTGTCCCCACTGGTGTCACCAGTGCAAGGGGGCACTGAGGCTCCTTTTTCATGGGTTTCAAGACCCTTCCCAGCCTGCTGACCTGGAAGCTGCAGAGACCCCAAAGAGAAGCCGTCTCTCTTGTACAGGATCTCCCCGTGTCCCCCGGCCCCTTTGAGGAGGAGGAGGAGGGAGGTATCGCCCTCACCCCACTTTCACCCCTGTTGCATTCGGATCGGCAGGGCTAAGAAAGAAGAGAGACCCTGCTCCTTTGCAAGTGGGCTAGTCCCCCGCCTTCTACACCCACACACCCACACACACACACAGAGTACACAAACACGCATCGGATTGTGATGTTGGCGTGCATGCTGAATGGGTTTCTGCGTATTTGTGTTGAGTCTGATTTTGTCCTTCACTTTTAATAATGGCATTTTAGAACAATGATGGTTTCAGAATCCAAAGGGGTTAAGAGCAAAGCAGAAGGTGGAGTTGATCTAAATCGATCGCGGGGTTGGGGTGGGGGTCCTTCCTTTGGGAGAACCCACCTAAGCATACAGGGAGTCCTCAATTTGCGACCACCAGGGTGCCCAAAGTTTATGTTAAGTGAGACATTTGTTAGGTGAATTTTGCCCCATTTTACGATTTTTCTCGCCACATTTGTTGAGTGAATCACTGCAGTTGTAAAATGAGTCACACGGTTGTTAAGCGAATCTGGTTTCCCTCATGGACTTTGCTTGTCAGAAGGTTGCAAGAGGGGATCATGTAATCCCAGGACACTGCATCCGTCATAAAAGTGAGTCAGTTGTCAAAGCATCTGAATGTGAATCACATGACCACGGGGAGGCTGCAACGGTCGTAACTGCTGAGCACATTGTAAGCCGCCCTGAGTCTTCGGAGAAGGGCGGCATATAAATCAAATTAAAAAAAAAAAAAAAACTGGAAAATGGTCATAAATCATTATTTTCAGTGCCGTCGTAACTTTGAATGGTCACTAAATGAACTGTTGTAAATCGAGGACTACCTGTACAGAGAGAGAGAGACTTCCTGCTCTCTACTGAATCTTCCAAGCCTTGGAAATGGAAGCGGGAGGAGATATGGGGTATAGATTTGATTATATAGGTAGTTCTCAACTTAGTTCATTTAATGACCGTTTGAAGTTACAACGTCACTTATGACTCTTTTTCACACTTAACAACAGTTGTCCCAAAGGGGCCTTTTCAGGAGGCAACTGGGCTGTCTAGTTTTTTCTTTGAAGACATTTCGCTTCTCATCCAAGAAGCTTCTTCAACTCTTGACTGGATGGTGGGGAAGGGAAGGATTTATACTCCTTGCAGGCAGCTGGTCATTTGCATCCTTTTGGAGGGTCTTTGAGGCCACCTGGAGGTTTCTCTGTGTCCTCAGAGTCACCTGAGTGGTGCAAATGGGTGTGGAGCCTTCTTGGCTGCAGGACGTTTTCTGCAGATGTTTTCATGCAAGTTGTTCCACTGATTGATTGTTCTCTCTGGCAGGGAATTTCTCCTTAGTTCTAAGTTGCTTCTCTCCTGGATTAGTTTCCATCCATTGTTTCTTATTCTTCATTCCAGTGCTTTGGAGAATAGTTTGACTCCTTTTTCTTTATGGCAGCCCCTGAGATATTGGAAGACTGCTACCATGTCTCCCCTAGTCCTTCTCTTCACTAGACCAGCCATGCCCAGTTCCTGCAACCGTTCTTCGTATGTTTTAGCCTCCAGTCCCCAAATCCTCTTTGTTGCTCTTCTCTGCACTCTTTCCAGAGTCTCAACATCTTTTTTACATCGTGGCGACCAAAACCGGATGCAAGATTCCAAGTGTGGCCTTTCCAAGGCCTTATAAAGCGGCATTAACACTTCAGGTGATCTTGATTGTTGATGCAGCCCAGAACTGTGTTGGCTTTTTTGGCAGCTGCTGCACACGGCTGGCTCCTATCTAAATGGTTGTCCACTAGGACTCCAAGATCCCTCTTGCATATAGTTACTACTATTGAGAAAGGTACCACCTGCAGCTGTGCATTTGGTTTTTCTTGCCCAAATGTAGAACCTTCCCCTTTTCACCCTTGAATTATATACCTATTTGATCTTGTTCGGCTTCCACGCCCCTCTTATTTGAA